TTGTGAAAAGGTAAGTCAGTCATCAAACTTGGTCTGTCCTCGACGTAAACGCACAAGAACAATTTGTTGACGCCTGTTAAGTGATGATGGAATCCATTAGTAAACATTATTCTTGCTTAAAATTAGTTTAAGACAACTCATTTCGCCACAAACACAACACTATAGGCTCCGAATAATTGCTTAATATTGCCTGTCGTGCAGTCCTGTCAGATTCTTCGTTTCCTGTTATTTCCGACGTATGAGGATACCCACAAAAATTGAACACTTCTTCTATGTTGATGAGCTCGAGATAGCTGGTATTTCAATAAATTTTCAAAAGGATGTTTTGGAAAAATATGTTTTAATGGGTTTAGAGAGCTAAGAAAATTTGCGATCGATTTTTTTGTTAAGATAAAACGTTTCACAGCACGGTAAATAGAGTAGAGCTTGAGCAGTGACCTTGAATATTTCAGTTATGAAGTTGTCTTAAAATGCTGTACTTCCAAGCTTTATTAAATGCACGTTCTAAATAAAAAATAGAGCAACACATTTTTGGTTTGTAAAAAGAGCTTCGTGTTTCTTACTTTTCAACTGTAAAATGTTGTCTGTGGTTGACTGATCTTTTCTAAAGCCATTTTGCTCGGAGTTTAATAAATTGGAATTTTCTAAATCCCATAAGAGCCTGCAATTAACAATATTTACTAGTAAGTTGCATGCTGTAGATGTCAAAAATATGGGTTGGTATGATTCTGGATAATAATATTTAGGTTTGTCAGTTTTTAGGGGATGAATGACTATTACCTTTGACCAAATAGCTGGCCATTGGTGGTGGAGCCAAATTTTGTTAACTATGGCTGCAACAGGAAGATATTTCAGAGATGCAGAAGGAATATCAACAGATCCAGGACTAGAATCATTCATGTTAAGCAGAGATGAGTTTATCCCTTAAAAAGAGATAAGATGGAATTATTTTGAACTTTAATTGGATAAATGGGGTTTTATTCGGCGAATTTTTAACTTGAAGAAAATTGGCTGTATACTGTTGATTCGATGAGTGGCTGTGGTAGATTTTCCTCAAAAACAGTTGCAATATCGCTGCTAGATGTTATGAAATTATTATTTTCTTTTAAACCCGTGAAATTCTGTGAAGTATGTAAACCAGATATTTTTCTAACTTTGTTTTAGAAATTAGAAAGAGAGAGACATAAACCATTGCCATATATAGAATAAACTAAAAGGGCCATTTAAGGAAAGTAAATCCCGTTTATCACTCTGTTGAATGGTTCTTATCTCATGACTCTCTAGGAATTTTTTAATCTCATTGAAAACATTCTACCCATTTTTATCGCCTATTCAAGTACGTTATATTAATAAAAAACAATTATAGATTATAATTCTTCATTTTTGAATCACTTATGTGTAAGGATAAAACTAAACTGTGTACTGAGATTCATTTGGGTAACTTGGAATTTTTACATTTTTGCCACCCTGTACCAATTCTAAGCAACGTTCTATACATTTTTGAAATCAGCTCAGCAAAGGAAATAATATAAATTAAAAAAAGGGTTCCTTAAAAAAATGGTAATGTCTTTATACTAAGGTGGTTCACCCTGTATATTAAACTATAATTTGAAAAAATAGTAAATTACATTAAAAAATCGACTTGTTTGGGAATTTCTAATACTGTTGTTTATTTAGCTAATTATGATTTTATGCGTTACTTTATAGACGCACTGTACAGTACCGGGTGGTCCAATAAGCCGATCTCTCTGCTATATATCAGAAACTATTCATGTTATAACTTTGGGAGAAAAAATTTATTACTAAAAGTGGCCAAGAGAAATCGCTGGAAATAACTTTCAAGTTTCTGGGTTAACCGCTAGGGGGCGTAACCTGTAAAGAAAACTTTAAAAACCAGTTTTTTTAGAAATATGCCCAATTATACCAAGTGTTAAATAAGTAAACTAGAAAGAGGCCTTAATTCTTCACAAAGTTGTTCAAATACTTTTTTTTATTTTTTTAATAAAGGGTGGGGGAGAGTGGGGAAGTATTTGTGCATAAAGAAGAAGAAGAATTATAATCTGTAATTGTTTTTTATTAATATAACGTACTTGAATAGGCGATAAAAATGAGTAGAATGTTTTCAATGAGATAAAAAAATTCCTAGAGAGTCATGAGATAAGAACTTTGGATTGGATTAACCGATTTTAACGAAATAAATGTCATTAGAAAGAGTGTGGATAAATTAATTTACATCTACTATAAAATAATTTGCATTTAGTTTTAATTGGTCATAGGTAGATTCTTTCGAATAGAAAATATTAAACTTCGTTTTTCTTCAAAATGTTTAATAGAAACACTTATTTATTGTGAACTATAATGGAACTGAATTAAATTCGTAACAAAATGGCGCAAACCGCATGTTAATAGCTTTTGTCGAACTCGAGATATGAATAAAAACGCATAAACATAAGTAACTATAGTATTGACTCACCTTGTATTATAAATTAAATTAAAAAATAAGTCAGTACGTACTTTCAAAATTTTTTATAGCAAAATAATCTTAATATTGATACCTATTTTGACCATTGTTATTTTATATTATTAAAAATAGTTTTTTCGAAACTGTTATATTATAATCCGAATTGAAGATTGCACTTTTTTCAATAGATATTAATATTGGTAATATTAGTAATTAATTATCACTACTAATAATTCGTGATGAGTATATCAAATGCAGAATTGTATGATATGATTGGAGTTTATTTCGAATATCACCAAAATGCCGCTATTGCCTCACGTATATTTTCTATAAGATATCCTGACAGAAGACATTATGGAAAAGAAGTATTTGAAAGAAAGGTAAGAAGATTAAGAGAAACTGGTAGTTGTCATCGTCCTTGTTTTAAACGATGTAGTAGAGGTATGACCGAAGATAATTCAATCAATGTTCTTGCTTTAATTCAACAGAATCCACATATATAAGTAGTCGGCAAATCTCTATAGAATTAAACATACCCAAAACTACTGTTCTAAGGATTTTAAAACATCACAGGTTGGTTTTTTCATATTATAAAGTGAACGTTTAGGTCAGAAACTTGGAATTCCCTTTAAACTTTAGATTCAACTGTTATTTTAATATTCCGATAAAAACGGCAACACGGCGCTTTTATCATTATATCCGTTTCTTAAAAATACTTATGCACGATTTATCTTGTGAAACAATTGTAGATTTTTTATTTAGTAAATATAGTAGTTTCTTTTTCACCAATATTTGTTGTTCTGTTTTTTAGACTGCATCCTTATCATGTAGTTCTCCACCAAGCTTAACATGAGAGAGATTTTGATGCAAGGCTGGATTATTGCAATTGGAGGTTTAATAGTGCGCGTGGTGTTAATCTGCATAATATGCGTTATTGGGCTAAAGAAAATCTGCATTAGATACATGAGGTGCAGGTTCAAGGTAGATGTTTGGTGTGGTATAGTTAATGGAAAGATCCTAGGTCCATATTTCTTTGATATAACTTTACATGGCGAAAAATATTTGGATTTTCTGGAAAATCAGTTGCCTGTTTTATTGGACGATATTTCCTTACAAACAAGAAGAAATATGATATTACAATATGACTTTTCCAGACGAGTTCGAGATTATTTGTATGCAAGTTATCCAAATAAATGGATTGGAAGGGGAATCTCCAGACTTAACATATCTGGAATTTGATTTGTGGGGAAGATTGAAGGACTTAGTGTACCAAACTTGACCAACCACGTGAGTCGAGATGAAACAGCGCATTATTAACGCAATAAATAGTATATCAACAGATGAGATTGAAGCAGCTGTTATGTCTACGCGCGAAAGATTACATCTTTGCGTTGACAATGATGGAAAACAATTTGAACATTTAATTGGACATTAAGTTTTAATGATCGAGACGTTTGTATGATCTTTCACATATTTAATTTTAAGTTATAATAAAGGGTGAGTCAATACTATCCTTATTTATGTTTATGCGTTTTTATTCATATCTCGAGTTCTACAAAAGCTATCAACAAACGGTTTTCGCCATTTTGTTACGACTTTAATCCGGTTCCATTATAATTTACAATAAATAGGTGTTTCCATTAAACATTTTTAAGAAAAATAAATTTTAATTTTTTCTATTTAACAGTACCCTCTACCCATAACAATTCAAACTAAATTGAATTATTTCATAGTAGATATAAAGTAAATCATCCATACTCTTTCTAATGACACTAATTTCGTTTAAATCGGTTAATCCAAACCAAAGTTATAGGTATTTATCCACAAATACTTTCCCACTCTCCCCCACCCTTTTTGAAAAAATAAAAAACAATGTACTCGAACAACTTTCTGCGAAATTTAGGCCTCTTTCTAGTTTACTTATTTAACACTTTGTATAATTGGGCATATTTCACAAAAAACTGGTTTTTAAATTTTTATTCACAGGTTACGCCCCCTAGCGGTTAACCCAGAAACTTGAAAGATATTTCCAGCGATTTCTCCTGACCACTTTTACTAAGGAATTTTTTATCCTAAAGTTATAACATAAATAGTTTCTGATATATAGCCGAGAGATAGGCTTATTGGACCACCCGGTATATGTAGAGATTGAAATATTATCAAAATATTATCAGGCTTATCAAAAGTATGTTTGTTTTTAAGCAAATTTGTTTTTAATTTTTTTAACTTTTTTAAAACAACTTTTTTCAATCTAAATTGTGGTTTTTCGAAATATCGGAGACCCTCTAACCATTTATTTGATATAACAGAGGTTCTAATGCATTTCTAACAATTATTTACCGATAGATGTAAATATATACAAGATTTTATTTAGTTTGTGTGTATTTTTTCAAAATTTTCCGATACTACATATTTTTGCTTGCTAATTTTAATATTGATTATCGACTTGAGTACTCTTTTACATATGACGTAGGCTTTTAAATGTGAATGGTGAATATTACAGTATACTTAAGATTTACTGACAAGCTTACATGTTGCGCTATACCGCTAAATTTTAGTTTGTTTATAAGTGAAGTGTAGTTTGTTGAAACTTTTAGTATAAGGTAAGTATTTTAATACATTTATGATTTATATATTACAACGTACATTTAGCTTTATATTTTTATAAATAATTTTTATGTAATTAATTGAAGCATACCAATACCAAGCGGACTTTGACAAGTAGAGATCATCAGCCTATTCTTATTTAATTTTCATCCATCCTATGGCTCTACAGCCCAATTCGAACTCTCACTCCTCTCAGCAAACCTCTTCTGTCGTTATGGTACCTAGCTACTCTGCTCCACGATCGACTGCCAAGGAGATTTCTCGTGTCCTCATCCACATCATCCTCCCACCGCTTTATCGGTTTTCTAATAGGTTCGTCTATCTGCATTCTTACATTCAACAGTTTTTTTTGGAAGCCTGTTTTCTTCCATACTAAATACATGGCCTGCATATTGAAGACGCTATAGCCGGATATACTGAGATAAAGATGGTTCATATTATTTCATAATTGTATCTGATTCGCTACCTGTTGATCTCATTTCTAGGGCCTATTAAGCTAGAGAGGAGAGAGCAGTGATAACAGAGAGCTATTCTAATAAATGGAAATCAATAGAAGATAGAAAAGCTTACCAGAATCTCAAAATTTCAGAACTTGAAGAAGTAGAATATCTTAATAAAAATGAATTAGACATCGAGGTGATAAACGTGCGAATAAATACTGCGATTTAAAACGCCCATAGAAAATATAACAAAAAAGAACTTATAAACTTAATAGTCATTAGAATCAATTCGAAAACATGTCAGAAATTAAAACACCAAAAACATAGCTCTAGTTATTAACAAAAATAAAAATTTAAAGGTTTTTGTGCCGAAAAATGATCTAAGGATCGAAATTATCGAAATCGTAAATAACAAGGGAGCAATTAAAACAGATAAGGAAGATATTTTAAAAATTACTCACGATTTTTACTCAGAATTTTATAACCCAGAAGAACTTATAGATTCTAATCAAGTCAAATACCAAAAGTCAAAATGTTTGCTTAGAAGACATCTCAGAAATCACAACAAAATCACTCAAGAGGAAATAAAAACTCCATCTCTATCGGAGATAAAAACAATAAGTCACCTGGAGAAGATAGAATAATCATAGAACAAATTAAAGAAGTTTGAAAATTAAGGCAAATATCGAGCACAAGTTTAAATCTTGCCCAAGTACTTTCGCTATGTACAGCATCATCAGGGGCATCTGAAATAAGCTAAGAAACGTTTTTTTTTAAATGAAGAAAATTAATTAACTCCGATAAAAACTCGAAGTTAATGGATGATAAAAGTTTTTTGTGATTAACGTTTTAGACTTACTACTTCGTCAAATTTGAGCTATCCAGCAAGCGTAGAATATAATACACATGAAAATGGACATAAATTGTACACAACACTACATCAACAAAAGGACAAACAGTTTAAAATTATTAAAATTATTCTGACGCTGTACATTCTTGTCGGCAATCGGAGAGAGAATGGTATTTAACGGAAATGCTAAGGTGACATATGACATATGACAGCTTTGATGGGCTGTCACAATCATGGATATGTGATATAAACATATTAAAATTCTGTATAAGTAAGCTGGCATTGACCAAAGGTCCAACTGACACTACTATAGAAAATCAGCTTATGAAATCTGAAATATAGAATATTTTGGTTTAACTAGATGGCATAATTCAGATCTCACACTCACGCCAGTCTGTAATAATGTCTGCAATAAGGTTGTAAGTTTGATAGCAAATGAAGTGGACATAAAGTGTGAATGAAAGAAATAGACTAAATGATATATTTGACAGTGGGTGGTTGACTACAATAAAATGGTCTATCAGGTACTGTCAATACTGTAAAATAGAGAAGAAAACTGGCTATGAAATTGAAATACTAAAAATTAAAACAAAATTGAAAGCAGTGTATAAATGGGGTATAATTCAAGTAGTTCAGTTAAACCCCCAGCCAATGAGAGAACTGTAAAACTAATACCTATGTAATAGCGTTACTAAAGACCAACTAACAGTTTAGCTGACAGCTTAAAAAAAAAGTGGCCATGAGGTGCCTCTACCCTACACATTTTATCTTTAGATTTAAGTTATTCGTGTTTTGCTTAATACATAAGCTTAAAATGTATCAGTAACAATAACCACTAAAAGTGAATAGATTTTTATACTTCTAAAATAATATAGGATTGACCAATTGGATTTATTAAACATATTATAAGTAGTTTAAAAACAATAAAATGGGATGTAATGGGACTTAGTGAAATTAGAAGGAGAGGAGAAGAACAACAAACATTGAAATCAGGACACCTGTTCCACTACAGAGGAGAGGAACATTCATCCAGCGGTGGAATCGGGATCATTGTACATAAAAAACACATACCCAACATAACGAAAATCGAGACCATAAGCACGAGAGTCATCCTATTGATATTAAAACTAAACTCTCGTTATAGTTTAAAAGTTATACAGGTCTACGCCCCGACAACTGGACACACAGATGAAGAAGTTGAAAAATTCTATGAGGATGTAGCAGAGGCACAACAAAGAACACGAACACACTATACGGTTCTCATGGGCGACTTCAATGCAAAACTCGGATTCGAACAAGACCAAGCGGAGATCGCGTTAGGAAAGTATGGATAGGGGGCAAGAAACGCAAGAGGGGACATGCTTTTAAACTTTCTACATCATCAATGCATGTTTCAAATGAACTCTTTCTTTAAAAAGAAACCCCAAAACAAATGGACTTGGATAAGCCCTGATGGCGCCGTCAAAAACGAAATCGACTTTATAATTACAGATAAAAAATATATAATACAAGACGTGGAAGTACTCAACAAGTTCTCTGCTGGCAGCGACCATAGGATGATAAGAACAAAAGTAATGCTTAACGTTACAAAAGAAAGAATGAAGCTTGTTCCTAAACCAAATGTTAGAAGATGGGTACCACCTGAAAATGCAAAACTGTTTGAACGTACGGTCGAAGAAAAATTACAAAACGAAGAAACAGAAAACATAAACATCGAACAACTAAACCAGAAAATAGTCAAAGCTCTAAAACCAGCACAAGAAAAATGTTGCCCAAAAAACCAAAAAGACGAAGAAAAACTAAGTCTAAGCATGAAAACTCTATTAGAGGAAAGAAGACAACTAACAGATAAATACAGAACCAATCTAACAAAAATGAGACAACTAAACAAACAAATCACTAAGAACATCAGAAAAGATATAAGAGACTACAACACCAGAGAGATATCAAAAGTCATAGAAGAGAACAAAAGTTTAAAAGTCTTCAGAAGGAAACAGCAAATAGGAAAGAAAAATATTTACAAACTGAAAAACACAAAGGGCGAAATAATAACAGATAAACAGGAAATTCTACAAACTGTCGGACAATTTTACAGCGAACTCTACAGCAAAACAGAAGAAAATGTTCCAACTGACAACATACCAAAGGTTCTAAACCAGGGCTCGGAAGACATACCAGATGTTACTGTTGATGAAATCAAAAAAGCTCTCCTACAAATGAAAAATAATAAGTCACCTGGCGACGACGGGATCGTTGCCGAAGCCATAAAATTAGGAGGCGAGAAACTGATACAAATGCTTTCCATACTTTTCACAGAATGCCTTGAAAGAGGAACAACACCATCACAATGGCAAAATGCAGTGATCATTCTAATGTGTAAAGAAAGGAGATTTAACAAATCTCGTAAACTATAGACCAATCAGCCTCATCTCACACATATACAAGCTTTTTACAAAAGTCATAACAAACAGACTTTCGAACAAAATGGACTTTTACCAATCATGCGAACAGGCAGGATTCAGGTCAGGCTTCGGCACAAACGACCATCTACAAGTTATTAAAAGCCTCATCGAAAAATGTATAGAGTACAATAAACCCCTCGTCCTAATATTTGTGGATTATGAGAAAGCATTCGACACAGTAAACCACCAGAAAATGCTAGAAGCTTTAAAAGAGTGCCGAATAGATCACCGCTACACAACTGTCATCAAAAATATCTATGATAATGCCACGGCATGCGTCAGACTCCATGAAGATACACACAAGTTCAACATTCATCGTGGAGTTCGCCAGGGCGACACCATTTCACCAAAACTGTTTACAACATTATTGGAATACATGTGTAAGCGTGCAAACCTAGACGAAAAGAGCATAAACATAAATGGAGAGCAGCTTAGTCAACGCTTAGGTCGCGGACGATATAGTCCTGATAACAGACCGCATAGATCATGCCATCGAAATGTGCGAAAGTCTCTACCATGCCTCTACACAAGTGGGTTTAGCGATCAATAACTCAAAAACACAAGTGATGACAAACCTTGTTCTGAGTGAGAACATCAACATAGCTGGAACAAGTATAGAACAAACATCAGCATACAAATATCTGGGACACGAAATTCGCTTAAGTAGAGATAACCAGACCAATGAACTAATACGTAGAATAGGGTTGACATGGGCAGCTTATGGAAAGCTATGAGATGTTTTCCAATCAGCTCTTCCCATCTGCTTGAAGAGAAAAGTCTTCGATCAATGTGTGCTGCCGGTTCTAACCTATGGTGCGGAGACGCTAACACTTACTAAGACGTCCGCAAACAAAATTCGAACAACACAGAGGGCAATGGAACGGTCCATGTTGGGATTAACCCTGAGAGACCGAATACCCAATACAGAATTGCACCGTAGATCGGGAGTAACCGACGCAATCAAAAGAATATCAACCTTAAAATGGAACTGGGCAGGGCACGTCGTGAGAACGAAGGACGGCAGATGGACAAAACGCATTCTTGAGCGGAGACCCAGACAAGATGCCTTTAGGAATAGAGGACGACCACCAACAAGATGGACGGATGACCTGAAACGGACACATCAAAATTGGATGCAGGCGACTCAGGACAGAAATTTGTGGGGTGAACTACGGGAGGCCTATGTTCAGCAGTGGACGAGTATGGGCTGGATGATGATGAAGTAGTTTTGTATTAGAAGCCCC